CAGGAAAGTGAAATTGTAACAGGTGATGAAGAGAGGGCAGAACTGCTCACTTCCTACTTTTCCTCAGTCTTCTCTTGCAAGGGAAATGGTGCTCAATATGGCAAAAAAAGAACACATGATGAGGGAAGGGAGTTGCAGCCTAGGATCAACATAGGGGTATGTCAGGAGGGCATTACCAACCCCCTCCTGCCTACGCCGGAGGCCACCCTGTCAGCTCTCGCCAGCAGGGAAACACTAGTCCGCGACCCTTTCCCGGAGGACCCGGGGTCCTGGCGGCCCAACCAAAAAGAGATGGAACACCTACAAAGGGAGGGGGCCGGGGCAGCAGGAACCACTGGGCTAGGCGTCAAAGGTGTAATAGATGGAATGAAGGATGGCGGGTCAACCGAGACCAATTCCCCTTTGAGTTATGGCTGGTGGCGCGGGTGCTTTAAGAAGTGGATCATGGGTGGGATCCCAGGTGTGCCGAGAGAATGAATAAAAGAGAAAGCCAGGTGAAACCAGAGAGGAAGGAGATGAGGGGAGTGACGGAGGAGGACAGAGAGGAGTAAGAAAGAACTCGAACTCGTCTGAACTTCTCCCCCATTGTTGTTTAGGAGTGACTTTAACTCCAATACAACAATTCTGAGGTGAACCTGCACTCTTGAGAATTCTTGTCTACGCATCCTGGATCCCGTCCATAAGCCCCTCAACCCCTCCCGACAACCCGGACCTGACATAGTGGGTACTTTACTTTCTCCTGTATGTGTAGTTCCCTTTCCCCTTTTTCTGTTGTAGTTTTTTTGTAATGATAAAAAAAATCAATAAAAAGTCCCCTCTGGGGGCTCAAAAAAAAAAAAAAAAGTATGTTCACAGCTTACAGATACACACCTAACCAGCACATTCAAGATGACTCCAGATTTTGATACAATAATTCAGAGAAAGAGGTCAGATATCAAACACTGTAAAATAAAGCAAATACTGTAAGACTGTTAATTATTAAGCATGTTTGTATATTGAGGGGAAAATAACATTGTCAATTGGGTCTCCCCTATGTCCTTTCTAAAGTTTATATCTCTGGTACTTGGCATTACATTGTATGGCACACATGGCCAAGCCAGACAAAGTGACATTTATGACATATCCTCCTAACAATTGAATTCAAAATTCCTCCCTGTGCTGAGAAGTTAGTTACATGGCTTTTCCTTGTGTGGGATCTTCAAAATAGCCACGCTGCATGAATCTCTTTCTCTTCGAAAGGTTTCTGCCCTTTGTAGATTCCTTGATGCTATTGACGATGGCCACTCTGACTGAATCTCTTCCCATGCTCTGAGCACTCAAAAGGCTTCTCCCCGTGTGGGCTCCTTGATGCTGTTGAGGAGTGCTACTGTGTCTGAATCTCTACCCACACTCTTAAGTATTAAAAAGACTTTTCCCCTGTGTGGGTTCTTAGATGTTTTTAAAGATTGCCATTCCGACTGAATCTCTTCCCATACTCTGAGCACTCAAAAGGCTTCTCCCCGTGCGGGTTCCTTGATGCTGTTGAAGAGTGCTACTGTGTCTGAATCTCTACCCACACTTTTAAGTATTAAAAAGGCTTTTCCCCTGTGTGGGTTCTTAGATGTTTTTGAAGATTGCCATTCCGACTGAATCTCTTCCCACACTCTGAGCATTCAAAAGCCTTCGCCCCTGTGTGGGTTCTTAGATGACTTTGAAGAAGGCTACTGTTGCTAACTTTCTTCCCACACACTGAGCATTCAAAAGGCTTCTCCCCTGTGTGGGTTCTTAGATGAGTTTGAAGGTTGCTGTTCTGACTGAATCTCTTCCCACACTCTGAGCATTCAAAAGGCTTCTCCCCTGTGTGGGTTCTTTGATGCAGTTGAAGACTGCCACTGTTGCTGAATCTCTTCCCACACTCTAAGCATTCAAAAGGCTTCTCCCCAGTGTGGGTTCTTAGATGTTTTTGAAGATTGCCACTGTTGTTGAATTTCTTTCCACACTCTGAGCATTCAAAAGGCTTCTCCCCAGTGTGTGTTCTTTGATGCTGTTGAAGATTGCCACTATTGCTGAATCTCTTCCCACACTGTGAGCATTCAAAAGGCTTCTCCCCTGTGTGGATTCTTTGATGATTTCGAAGATTGCCACTGATGCTGAATGTCCTCCCACATTCTGAGCATTCAAAAGGCTTTTCCCCTGTGTGGGTTCTTAGATGTTGTTTAAGAGCGCTACTGTCGCTGAATCTCTTCCGACACTCTGAGCATTCAAAAGGCTTCTCCCCTGTGTGGGTTCTTTGGTGCTGTTTAAGAGGGAAACTATGACTGAATCTCTTCCCACACTCTGAGCATTGAAAAGGCTTCTCCCCTGTGTGGGTTCTTCGATGTTTTTGAAGATGGCCACTGTTCCTGAATCTCTTCCCACATTCATAGCATTCAAAAGGCTTCTCCCCTGTGTGGGTTCTTAGATGTTGTTTAAGAGCGCTACTGGGTTGAAGATGTCCACTCCGACTGAATCTCTTCCCACACTCTGAGCATTCAAAAGGCTTCTCCCCTGTGTGGGTTCTTTGATGAGTCTGAAGATGGCCACTGTAACTGAATCTCTTCCCACACTCTGAGCACTCAAAAGGCTTCTCCCCTGTGTGGGTTCTTTGGTGCTGTTTAAGAGGGAAACTATGACTGAATCTCTTCCCACACTCTGAGCACTCAAAAGGCTTCTCCCCTGTGTGGGTTCTTAGATGACTTTGAAGATGGCTACTGTTGCTGACTTTCTTCCCACACTCTGAGCATTCAAAAGGCTTCTCCCCTGTGTGGGTTCTTAGATGACTTTGAAGATGGCTTCTGTTGCTGACTTTCTTCCCACACTCTGAGCATTCAAAAGGCTTCTCCCCTGTGTGAGTCCTTAGATGACTTTGAAGATGGCTACTCTGACTGAATCTCTTCCCACACTCTGAACATTCAAAAGGCTTCTCCCCTGTGTGGGTTCTTAGATGACTTTGAAGATTACAATTCAGACTGAATCTCTTCCCACATTCTGAGCATTCAAAAGGTTTCTCCCCTGAGTGGATCCTTTGGTGCACAAAAAGCTGTGATCTGTATCTGAAGTACTTTCCACACCGAAAGCATTTACATGCCTTCATTATACTGTGCTTTGAAAAATCTATATTACCCTTTCTTCCATCCAAGAACATCGTTCCACTTTCTGAACAGATAAAGGACTTTTCTCCTGAACGAATTCTTTGGTGTCGCAGAAGGTCTGATTTCTCTGAGAAGCTCTTCCCACAGTCTGAGCAGCTATAAGGTTTCTCTCCTGTATGTGTTCTTAAATGTCTAAGGAACTCTGATCTGCGAATCATGGTCCTTCCACACTTCAGGCACTGATGGGTCTTCTTTCCACTGTGCATTCTGAAATGGACGTTATACTGGGTTTGATCAGAGAAGTTCATTCCACAGTCCAAGCACCTGTATGTTTCCTTCAACACATGAACTATTTCTTGGAAATCCTCCCCTTGGCAAGGAATGGATTTATCTCTTTTCTTTATCCTGCTGCTGACTTTCTTACTCTTATGTTTGCATTGAATCCTGACGTTTCTTTTCACATCTTCATTCCTGACTTCATCTGGTGATAGGTGATGCAGTTCCTCATCCTCCTGATTCCTCTGATCATCCCCTGCTGGGGGGGGGGAGAGAGAGAGAGAGAGAGAGAGTGAGAGAGAGAGAGAGAGAGAGAGAGATCCTGTTAGAATCCACACAAGGTGGTCTTATCTTCACCTGAGGTTCCAGCCACACTCCAAATATTTCAGTGGGTTATTTCTGCAGTACACTGAAGTGGACAATCAAATGCAATTTCAAAGTACATTAAGCCTCCTGCATCAGAGACGCTTGATTTGGACTCTGACCATTTCTGTGGCTCCCCCCCCCCCCCGTGTGATTTCTTTGATGTGAACTAAGGGCTCTTTTCCAAAGGAAGCTCTTTCCGCACTCCAAGCAATTATACGGTTTCTCTCGTAAGGGAGTTTGCTTGCAGAAAATGATGTTTATTCTATGATTGAAAGTCTTACAAAGTCTTTGCAAAGGCCCCCTCACCACAACAGAGGGTGCTGTGTGGTTTGCCTTCAGCCAGTTCCCTGAAGTGTTTCCTGGTGGGACTATGTGCTGCAGACCTCCCCCACAAGGTAGAACAGCTCCAAAGAAAGCACTCAAACACTTCTCCACCTAATAGCAAGGCCTGAAGGCATCCATGGGAAGACAGCAGGAAAGGGCTGATGTGCCTTTGGCCTTGTCTAGTGGGGCTGTTCTTAGGTAACCCCCACATTCCCAGGAATATCTAGTATTCAAGGATAGCACGGCCACTTAACAGCCAGAAATGAGCTCAGAACCAGGAGGAGCGCGCAACCATTCTTATACGGGGAAGGAAAGAAATCGAAGGAAGAGTAAAGGGATGTTGTAAAGGTGAAAACTGAGAAACTGGTTATCTGGCTCCTTCCAGAGTCTTTCTGGGGGACCGTCAGCCCTGCCTCAGGCCAAGACACCCTCTCTGGCTTGGGCAGTGACCACAACACTAGCCTCAGATGCTCTTGCATCAGTGGGACGTCCTGTATCGCCGCTCCATGTGGCCGTGCTGAATGGAACATTGGAACTTACCTAGAGGTTTCTTCTCTTCAGTGGGGCGAAGTCATCTAAACTGGGTTAGGCCACGCCTCCTCTCGCTCCAGGTGGGGCTATGCAAATGTGTGTAGACTGTATGGGCTCAGGGTGAGGCTGACCCTCCAGTCTTAGTATAGCCCAGCTCCATAACAGATTTTACGTCCGACTAGATTTTATTCTGGTTTATTTTATTTTGGGTGGGATGTGGATGACTTTGCCCCACTGAAGAGAAGAAACCTCCAGGTAAGTTCCACTGTTTCGTTCTTCAGTGGGGGAAGTCATCCAAACTGGTTATTATAAGCCCAAGCTACAACCTGGGTGGGAACCTCATTCTTGTTTTTGTTATATCATTTTCTGCAACTCTTGGGTAATGTGATAAAGGAAAAAAACCTTTGGCACAAAGGAAGGATCCCTCCTGAGTACCACCGAGATCTTGTGAAATCTACACAATTCCGTCCCGGCCAATAAAGCCCCTAATTCAGAAATCCTTCTTGCAGAATTAATCTCAGCAAGAAAACTAGAAGTTTTTCGAAAAGGTGACTTTAGATTCTGATTATTTGAAAGGATCAAATGGAGGATTGCTCAAGGCCTGTAACACTTTAGATAGGTTCCCAGTAAAAAGTTATGCCTAAGGAGAGGTGCCAACTGTATGGTTCCTTTCAGGGAAGCTTAAATTGCCTATGAGAAGAAAAATTAGGCAGCCTCATGCAGTCCCACATAGAGGTCAGTGCTGCAACCTGTCTTTTAAGGTATCTGGTCTTAGAACCTGATTCCAAACCTTCATGTAGAAAGGGAATGATGTCTTTGTATGTAGGTTTCAGTGGATCCAGCTTTTTGGTACTGGTCCACTTTTGACTGTCTGCCACGTACGATTATAGAGACGACTGGAAGTAGGTATTCTGGACTGCACCATGATGTCAACCACTTAACTTGGAAGGCCCAGTCCTACGGAATCCGCCAGTTCAATCTCTAAGCTGTCAGCTGGAGTCAAATAGGGCCTGGGTGGTAAGGGGATTCTTGTACAAGGAGACCCCATCACTTGGCAATCTCCACGGTGGAGACACTGACATCTTCACTAGCTTTGAGACCCAAGGACTTCTGTGCCAGAAAGGAGATATGGAAATAACCTCTGTTGACTGCTTTGACACTTTGTTCAGACCTCAGCGGATCTCTCTAGCCAGTTTGGTGTAGTGGTTAAGTGCATGGAGTGCGTATCCGTTTCGTAGTACAACTTCTTCCGAACGACCTCGATGGAACCCTTTCCTCAAGGCTTTTATCCATCTTCCATATAAGGCAAGAGTCTCCAAGAAAGCAGAGCTAGGGTCGAGTGTCCTGCTGGAGCAGCAGGGCTATTGAAACTGGAGGGTCAGCCTCACTCTGAGCCAATACGGTCTACACAAATTTGCATAGCCTCACCTGGAGCGAGAGGAGGCATGACCTAACCAGTTTGGATGACTTCCCCCACTGAAGGAGATCAGCACTTTCATGGCCACCCCAACTTCTCGAGACACCCAGTGGTGGCCAAGTAGCAGGTCAGGCCTCACAAACATATATTGCTGTTCAATATTTTGATTCATGAATCGTCCCAACGGCAGCTGTTCTCACCTTTGGCACCTATGAAAGATCCTTACCCAGAAAAGCCACACTCCCGTAGTTCTCTCGCATGACTTCCCTGTAGAGAGCTTTTTGGCCCAGATCCAGCAGGGCCCACTCTGCCTCGGTGAAATACACGGCCACCTCCTCAAAGGAAAATGGAGACTGAAAGAAAAAGCAGATTCCCTCGTCAGAGATCACGCCAAGCAGAGACGACACTCTCGACGGGGGGTGTTTCAATGCTGCCACCTTATACAGCATTTATAAAGACTATGACCTTATACAGCATTTATAAAGACTATGACTGCAAAGCTGGACCGTGCAAATAGTGTGCAAATAGAGAAAGGGACTGAATGGTAGCCATGTGAAAGTGCCAACCTACTGGACCACAGGGATGTGCCCAGACGGGGGGAACCTTGTTCTGAAGCAACGTGCCTAACCAGATGTGGACCCGTGGAAGACCTGATGCCTCTCCCTCCTGCGTCACCGCAGCCAGATGCCATAAGGCAGACCAGCCTCCCGGATCCTGCTAAGACAGAGATCCAGCAGCAGTTCCAGAAGAGAAGCCATACTGAGCGACAAGAACCAGGAATATTCCTGTCCAGATGCCATGGAAAGCTCTCTCCTCCAGCATGCAGGCACTCCCCCCCACACACAAACCTTTTGCATACTGACATCCTCAGGTGAAGCACGTTTGCAGCCCCAACCTAAACAAAAGAAGCTCCTTCCGTGATAGGATTAGGAGGAAAGTCCGTCCGCCAGCCACCCATCCTGAGGATGCCGCTGCCAGACTCGGGCCCTTAAATTACGATTATTGATCTTTGTAGAGCTCATGCTTGGTTTCGCTTTTGTATCCCTGCTTGTTTGGCACATCTATGCCCTTATCTTTTAGCCCTCCCTGACATGACATTCCTAAGGGGCGGAGTGAGTGCGAGTCTGATTTTCTGTAGGTGTAAGGATGCGCCGATTGTAACTCTTCTCCACGCAACCCCCAGGAAGTTCTCAGGTTTTCACATGGGAGTCGATCTTGGGAGAGATAAGACTTTGGACTTAGCTAGATAGGTCATATAGCTTTCATGACCTGTAGTGTGACGTATGTATGGAATGTGGGAACTCATCTTTATTATCAATTCTTTGGACTGGTATCGTAAGTTCTGACAAAGGCGTTTGTCTCTACAGTTAACCAAATCTTCTCAATAAACTCTCAAAAGAAAGACTGTGTTAAGAGTGGTTCTACTGGGAGCCTGACAGCCGCTGTTTAAACATCTGGTTGTTGAATCAACTACCAACCATGCTGCCAGACTGCTAATCCTTTCTCTCCTTTAGTCTACCTTTCTCTCTGAGAGATGTCGCTTAGAGAAACAGTATTTCTATTGCCTAACCATTAATCCCATTCTCATGACCCACCTTGATTTTTCCACTATTTCCTGAACGACTACGTGACAGAGGAAAATGCTGCCTGTAGTTGGGGTTTAGGGTATAAAAGGGGAGAGTCACCCCATTGCTCGCTCTCTGCTGCTTCCCCCCCACCTTGCCCAGCCTCACAGGATCCATCCTAGGGCTGTTTGGAACTTTCCATGTGCTCCGCCGGTCAGAACACGATCCCTTCCCTTAGTGTCAGTCTATTTTCCCCTGCAGATTCTACTCACTGCGTCTGGACAGGTACGTATCACCCCTCAACGAAATACCTGCTAATGCCAACGTCTCTATATTTTTCTGCCTTAATTTCCTAGCTCTGTATTCTGTGTTTCGCTTGCTTGATTTTATATGGGAGGGAGCGGTGGCGCAGGGAGTAAAAACAACTGCCTTAACATCTAGCGAACAGCCTGTAAGGCTGTTCGAGACCCACCACGGCCGGGGTGAGCACCCGGCCCTAGTCCTAGCTCCCGCCCACCCAGCGGATCAAAAGCCGTAACAACTAGCGAGTAGATGAATGGGTACCTGCCTTAGAAGGCAGGGAGCACCCCCCTCCATTGGGAGGTAAAGTGGGAACCCCAGCAGCAGCAATTTGGTGAGTGGCGGCGGCGGAGCGACATGAAATGGCGGCGGCACTCGAGGTGGCGAGCAGAAGTAAGGAGATGTAACATCGAGTGGTGGACCAGCAGTGGAGGCGGAGCCAGGAGGCGCGAGGACGCAGCAGCGCAGTCGGGGCGGAGCCTGAGGG